AGTAGGTGTGTCAGAGTCAGTGAGACTGGCTCACAATGGAGCAGGGTTCAGAGCTATTGTGCATAAGCTCGCTATGAGTCTCAGGCGACTTGATGGCACATAACGACGACAATAATGGAAATTCCCGGGCTCTAAGGGAAGGTGTTTTCTGGTAGGTTCCGAGGAAAGTCCTAGTTTTCTTTTCAGCTTTTGCATTTTGTGGATCTCAAGTGGTACTGAGACAGGAGAAGAGGCTCACTTTTGGGCTTCAAGCCTTAACCCCTCCTGACATCCTGCGAGCGGCGTTGCAATTCCGAACGCATACAGCTTGAATGTGCCAGCTGCTCCGTGGGAAAAGGAAGGGCAGACGCCTCCCGTGCGGTTAACTGCCTCTGAAAACCCGCTATGGGTCAGCTCCAACTCGAAGGCACACACCACCACCTCTTAGTATCTGGTGTACCCTCCTATACGTGGGAATGGAGTTCCTACAGATTAAAATCGGGCAGAACCTACACCAGTCTGAATCGCTTCCTGGAGCATAAGCAGGAACACCACTTGTTCCCCTAAACAAGTCTTACAAAGTAGGAGGTTACGCTATCTGCCAGGCAGGAGTCTCGAACTGGCCGACTTTGCTCCACAGTGCAGAACACCAAACCTGGACCCAGATGCCTCTGCAGTAGAGTTCATCTTGAAAAACAAGCTGTGCATATGCACTTATTTGTCCCTCTTTTTTTTAAGTTGCCCTGTTTGATTTCGGGTTTGGTTTTGGTTTTTTAATGCCCCCTAATGTTGTTCTTTTTTAAGGGGGCTACTTTCTAAAATTCCCCACCTTCTTTTATGAATAAACATGAAACTCGTCTAAATCTCTTCATAAAGCCCCCAAATTCTTTTGTTCAGTGATGTATGTCTGTCCTTGGAAGGTCACACCCTCCTACCCCCCACCTCTGATTACAAGGTATTTCTCTTTAAATAAATCAATTCTTTGCTTATTGAGAATATCATGGACTGCTAGGAAAACAAACAGATTTGTCCTGGAGAGGGTTAAACTGCGTGGCTCCTTGGAGGCAAGGATTCTGAGGCTCCATCTAACATACTTTGGACATGTTGTGAGGAGAGACCGGTCCTTGGAGAGGGACATCATGCTTGGGAGGGTGGAGGGACAGCGCAGGAGGGGAAGGCCCTCTATGAGGTGGATTGATTCAGTGACTGGGGTAATCGGATGGGTGTGTCAGAGACAGTGCGATTGGCACAGGACAGAGCAGAGTTTAGGGCTGTTGTACATAGTGTTACTATGAGTCGCAAGCAACTCGACGGCACATAACAACAACAACATATGTGAACAGTTCTAGCCTCTCACCCTATTATTCTTGGTAGGGAGAGAAAGAATCTGCAACTTGGACAGCAGAAATTCTGCAACTATATGGCGTTTATCTTTCCTCATCCATGCTGGTGGCTTCATGGTTAGGAGCTGCACTGACAAACCTAAAGGCAAGTGGTTCGAATCTAGCAGCCGCTCTAAGAAAGGTAGATGGGCAGTCTTCTCCTCTATGATTTGCTGCCTCTGAAAACCCACTGGAGGCTCAGCTATGGGTTGGTTCCAAGGTACACAAGGGTTGTGTTCCAAGGATACACACCAACAAGAACAGGGGTGCTTGCCTGTGACACTGCCTGTTTCACCTACCCTTTTATATCTCAAAAGAAACTGGCTTAAAACAAGTGTTGGATTTTTCAATCTAGTAATCATGAGATTGATTACTTGTGTTTCTTCAAAAATTGGTAACAAATAAGCTCCCATTTTTCACCACATCAAAGATTCTACTTCTGGCCGGCATCCATATCTCTCAAAAACTCATAGAACTTGCCATCTGAATCAAACTTGTTTTCAAATTCACAGTCACTCAAAGGGATGGCATTCCAGGTAGCAAGGAAAACTTGCTTGCTGGGTAATCCTCCTGCTTGAAACACACCTAACACTGTCTCATGAACATAATAACTAAAACCCACTTGCGAACAGGATTATAAGCCCAGGAACAGGAGTCTGGAATTGCATCCTGAATTCTGGTGGCTGCCATGTATTGTGATTGGCCGTTGAGGCAGAATCAACTTATAGCTGACCCTCCAGCTGCAGTCAGGTGCCTGGGAGGAGACTGCCCCTCTCTTCACCGCGGGGCAACCATTTAATGCACCACACTATTTTGCTCAATTACTCATCAACACTATAAAGAATGCTCTGCATATGAAGAAAGAAAAGAAAACGCTTGAACTTACTTACCTCTTCAAATCCCATTTCAAATAGACATTCAACAGCCCCTCTGACAGGCAAGAGTCGAGTAGAAAAAGCTGCATTTCCAATCCGGATAGATCTGTATTTTTCATCATCAGGGTTTCTAGGGAGGAAAAAAATAGTTTGACTATGTGATAATTTTTCTAAAGTATTTTTTAATTCCCTCATTGTGGAGTGTTGCAGGCCATGGTCTTTGCAATCACTTGTTATGCATCAGAGAGTTGGACAATGACTAGGGAGGACAGAAGGAGAATTGACGCCTTTGAGCTGTGGTGCTGGAGAAGAGTATTGAATGTTCCATGGACTGCCAAGAAAACTAACAGATCCATCCTAGACAGGGTTAAACCAGGCTACTCCTTTGAGGCAAGTATTCTGGGGCTTCATCTGACATACTCTGGACATGTTGTAAGGAGAGACAGGTCCTTGGAGAGGGACATCATGCTTGGTAGGGTAGAGGGACAGCACAGGAGGGGAAGGCCCTCTATGAGATAGATTAATTCAGTGACGGGGTAATTGGAATGGGTGTGTCAGAGGCAATGCGATTGGCACAGGATAGAGCAGGGTTTACGGCTGTTGTACATATGGTCACTAGGAGTCATAAATGACTCGACAGCACATAACAACAACAACATTTTTTAATTCACTTTCAGACTTCACACGGGCTATCCTTCTAACAGGTACCGTAGGCTCTAAATGAAAAGGAATCTGAAGAAGAGTTTGGGTAAAGTAGCCCAACTGTGTAATGCTATTTCCGTACACATTCTACGCCAACGTTGTTCCTTAACTTGACAGTTGAGGACAGTAATGCATCCATAAGGTAAACTGGGTTTATGGACTTGGTGGGTCGGGTAAATCAGCAGTCAAGGACTTCCTCACAGTGCTGAAGGGCAAGCGGCTGGTCTGAAGGCTGAAGTGCACCTGACTCACACCACGGTATGTCCAACTGCTTTGAATTCACAAGAACAACAAAAATCAGTAGGAAGATCTCAGCCTTGAGGATGGTGAGACTTGGCCTTACATACTCTGAACATGTTATCAGGAGGGGTCAATTCCTGGAAAAGGTCATTTCTGGGGGGATACTGGAGGGCATCAAGAGAGAGGAAGAACCTGCAGATGAACTGACATCGTTGCCGCAGCAATGGCCTTGAGCTTGGGGGAGAGCTTGAGGCTGGTGTGGCCGAGGCCAGGTTCAGACCTGCTGTTCAGAGAATCCCTCTGAGTCCACGGTCAACTCCAGGCATCTAACAAGAGCCCAAGGGAAATCCACCGCACATTCTGAACGGTGTACTATGAAAGCTGGATACCTCTGCTGTCCTTGTGATGTGTCATCGAGTCAGAAACCGGTTCATAGTTGACCCTCCTGCAGGTTTTCAGAGTAAAAGGCACAGGCGGCGATGCCCAGCTTCCTCCTGCAGGGCAGCTGGTGGGTTTGAACTGTGTGTCTTTGGGTTGATGGCACAACTCCTTCTCACTTGACCCCAGCGAACCCTAAGCACTTTTAGAATCTTACTGTATGCTTTAAAAAAGGTATTAAGTTCTACATGCAAAAGGTAGCTTTGTGTTTTGTCAGTTTTATTTCAATTCATTCCAATCATCATCATTATGCACCTAACACATAAACCAAAACCAAATTCACTGCCATCAAGTCAGGTAGAGTTCCAGGAGGTGTTAACAAGTATGTGTAAAATAAATTCATAAAAGAAATTTAAGACACTTGATAAAAGTGGACAAATATGAATCTCGGTATTTATCTTCAGTGTCATTTGATTTTTCTTTCTTCTGTAGAACAATAACTGTTTTCACAGTTAAGTGTGGTTTCAATTCAGAACACATTTATTGACACAACAAATAAAGTAAAACAAAAGAATTAATTATTTAACCATGATTTAAAATTTTGTATGGTGTGTCTTTGATATAACTGTGGAATAAAGTAAATTATAATTAACACTGAAAAGAATGGGAATCCCAGAAGACTTAACTGTCCTTATATGGAACATGTACGGAGACCAAGAAACAGCTGAAAAGAATAAGGGGTTTAAAAATCAGGAAAGATGTATGTCAGGATGTATTCTTTCATCATACCTAGTCAATCTCTCGGCTGTGCAGATAATCTGAGAAGCTGGACTATATGAAGAATGGGGCATCAGGACCAGATCCAAACTATGGTCTCTTCAATCACATCTGAGAGCTGGACCATGAATAAGGATGGCAGAATACTAATTAATGGTGTTGAGTTATGGTGCTGGAGAAGAGCATTGGGTATTCCACGGACTTCCAAAAGAACACACAGGTATGTCCTAGAGAAGGTGCAGCCAGAGTGCTCCTTGGAGGCAAGGATGGCCAACCTTCATCTCTCACACTCTGGCCATGTTGCTAAGAGGCTATTCCTTGGAAATGGATAACAGGTTTGGAAAGAGGCAGGGTCAGTGAGAGATAGGAAGACCCCCAACAAGATGGACTGACATGGTAACTGAGGACTGACGGGACAGAACGGTGTTCAGATAAGTGCTGTTCACATGGTTGCTGAGTCAGGACTTGACAACAACAATCCTCTGAGAGGGCGTTCTGGTGGCTTAGTGGTGACAACTTGCACTGGCAACCCAAAGGCACACAGGTCAAATCCACTAGCAACTAGAAAGATGGGCAATCTCTTCCCATATGATTTACTGCCTGTGAACATCTGCCTGCCTGTCAGCTACGAGTCGGCTCCAACTTGATGGTACACAACATCCTTATAATCTTTTACCTTGCTTATTAGAGAAGGGTTTCTCAGCACTGGAACGACTTGACAGTTGGGGCAAGATAATCCTTTGTGGTAAAAGCTGCCCTGTGAATTGCAGAAACTTTTAAACTCCTTGAGCTCAGGCCGCTAGACACTAGCAGGACCCTCCCGCTAGCTGGAACAACCAAAAACTGCTACATTACCAGAAATACTATGGGAGGTAAGGACACCACTCCATTGAGATTCATGAGATAAGAGATCTTGGAAAATGGTAATTTTTTTTTAAATGGTAATTTTAAGAATTTTACCATTTGTGTTTTTTTCCTCTTTAGGATTTAGTGTGGACTAAAACTAAAATCTAGAGGTGATTTCTTTTCCTAAATGGGTGTGGTATCTCAATGTTTTAAGTACTACCAACATACTTCCATTTTGCATTAATTATCCTCTTTCCCTCTAGTCGTCTCATCTATACCCACTTTATAAATCTATGTAAATTCATAAAAGGTATGTCCATATACACACACGCGTGCAATATATAACATGTGAAATATATCATTTCTATTACATGTGGTATATAATGCATGTGTATTTGCTGGTTGGTTCTGTGCCCCTGAGACAGCTACGACCGACAGGAACCCTGGGAACAGCGGTGAGGAAGCCGCCTTATCCTGTGCTCTCATCACAACCCCCCCACGCTCACGTCACCCCCGCCAGCCCGCCTCATGGTGGGTCTTACTCACTTTCTCTAATCCCCCACCTTTCCCAGATGACGTCTTTTTCCAAAGAACGACCTCTCCTGGCAACATGAACAAAGACCGCTGAGACAAAGTTCCTCCCTCCTTGCTGCTAAGGTGCACCCTGCCTGCCCCTCCCCCAAGGGAAATCTGGTTGTTCTTTTGGCCGTCCATGGGGTAGTCAACACCCTTCCTCAACACCACAATTCTTAGACATTAACTCTTCAGTCCTCTTTAATCACCCTTCGGCTTCAAATGCATAGGAAGCAAATGACAATATCATGGCTTGCATCTGGCACCCACCCAGGGGCACCTTGGTCTTTAAACTCATCAATTTTGTGTAAAAATATATATAAGATTTGCAGGCCTCTCACACAGTTCTTCATAAGCAAGTGTCTTCATTTTTCTCTCTTAAGTGTTCTTTTCCTACAGTTTCCATTCCTCTGTCAAAGTCTTCATCATGTGTTCCAAAGGTTCCTGGTGGCTAGAGGGCAAAGTGTTGGGCTGCTATGTGAAGGGACAGCAGTTTGAACCTACAAGTTGATTCACAGGACAAGGACGAGGCCGTGTCCTCCCATTACGATTTCCAGCCTGGAGACCCTGGGAGCTGTTCACTCTCTCCAGCTGGGTTACTACTGTGAGTGAGAATCTATTCAATGACAAGAGTTAGGGGTCTTTATGTTTTGTTTTTATAAAGCAGAGATTTCTGTGTTTTATTAGGAAGTGGTCAATATGTTGTTGATCTAAAGTATCAATGGTACATAATTATTTCTACCTCGGTTTGAAAAACTCCACTAAAATTAGATTACTCCAAGAATGGCACGCCTTAAAGTGTCAAGAGTTTGGTTTATAAGTTAATCATTCTCCTCCATTTTTAAACACATTTCTTTACATTCCCATGGAGGAGAGTGTTTAATATACCATGGACTGCTAGGAGAACAAACAGGTTTGTCCTGGAGAGGGTGAAGGCAGAATGTTCCCTGGAGTCAAGGATTCTGAAGCTTTGTCTGACATATTTTGGGCATGTTGCAAGGAGGGACTGGTCCTTGGAGAGGGACATCATGTTTGGGAGAGTGGAGGGACGGCACAGGAGAGGAAGACCCTTAATGAGATGGATCGATTCTGTGAGTGGGGTGGTGGGAATGAGTGTGTTTGAGACAGCGAAGTCAGCACAGGATAGAACGGTGATTAGGGCTCTTGTACATAGGGTCGCTATGAGTCGCAAGCAACTCGATGGCACATAACAACAATGTCCTAAGTGTGACCCCCCCCCACCTTTTTAAATCAACTACACAATGAAAACACACTAAATTACACAGTTGTGTTCTATCGAGTCGGACCACACCTGACCCTCCAGCAGGTTTTCAGAGGCAGTTAATGACACAGGAGGAGACTGCCTATCCTTCTCCCGTGGAGCAGGTGCTGGGCTCAAACCGCCTGCCTCAGGTACTGCAGTGCAGCTTCCTGCCACTAGGCCACCAGAGCATCATTATACAATAAGCTTACATTTGCCAAAGATAAGGAAGGCATCCTTTTCATGTATTCAGTCCCTGCTACGGGGTGGAAGCAAGCAACACTGGGATAACTCCCATTGGAACAGAAGGCTGGGAGCTATTTTAATCTATATTTCACCAAGTTTCCAAGATC